AAAAATTAATCTTAAAAACCAAACAATTTAAACAATGATGTCTGCTGATTATTTAATTAGGCACCAATTTCAATTACGTGGATAATGAATGGCCAAGAGGATTGGAAGTGTTGATTTTCTGTCTTTGTCTAACACACGTGGAACATAGGAATTTAGACGTGTTTTCATTCCAACGTACCGATTGATCTAATGATATGATAAAAATTTTTTTCCAAAAACAAATTTGAATATGTCATCAAGTTTACTTGAGATCAACCTTCCTAAATTTTAAATTTTTTGATTTTTACTTATCCAAAAATTTAAATGCAGCGTTTAACTTTTTTTTAAGATTTAGGGCGATAAAATCCAAAATACGGGAAAGTCGATCTCAAATAAAGACATGACGATAAATTAAAATCTGTTTTTTCTGTCTTATCGCTATTTAGTAGTTCAATTGGTACTACCTTATAATAAAAAAACGTCTAAATTCCTATGTTTCACTTGGTGACAGGCAAAAACTGAAAATCACCGCTTCCAATCCTCTTGATTTTTTTTCCTTTTCGATAAATAATTTATTTAGTATATTATATAGCCTTATAAATAGTGTGTCGAATACCTGTAGACCGCACATATATATATGTATAATGTGCAGTACATGCAATCGAAATAAATTTACCGATATCTTTGAAACGTATATATAACGCGGTTGCAACGAACCCTACATTATACACACATACATACATACTGGCAGGTATAATAATATTCGTTTGATACGAAATGATTATTTTTAAATGACATAATATATGTAAAGAAACTGCAGAACGATTACACCTTAATAACCAAAACGTTCCAAGGCGATGTATATTTTTTTCTTTCGTAAAAAAAGGATATATTTATAAAATTACAAATTTTATATACACACTATAACTAATATAATATAATGTTTGTATTCGTATACGCTGCAGCTAGTGTGTCGCTGTTTAAGTACGTACCTACCTACATATGTGTAAATTATACATTCGGAGAAGGAGAATCTTATTTTAGATTTGTTGGCCTGTCTGTCAGTGAAAGATTGCCTTGTAATTATCTTAAAACTGTATTCATACAGTAGACTGTATATAAAATATACATGCGTTTATACATTTACCGATGTTACTTGGAATTCAGTTTGTCGAGTAATTCGGTAGTCAAACACGCGATCATCCCCGAAGCGTTTTTTGAGCCAGTTTTAAAAAAATTATATATATATACTTATATGATCCAAAACGATTTTATTTATATATATATATATTATTATATACATACGTGCAATTATATTATAAGTACTCGTTAGCTGCAACTCGTAGAGTTTCAATGTTTGGACATAAATAAATACTTAATAATAATTAATAAAATTCTATTCCTATATATAGGCATATAGCTATATTTATATACATATATGTAATAAATATTATATTATTATATGTTTAGTTAAATGATTAATGACTATAATGAATGAAATAACATAAAAATATTTAAAAAACAATATTTCTAGACTTTAATTTATACTGAAAAATGAGTTATAATAGCGAGGGGTATGCATAACTTACACTGAAGATTGATCAGAAGCGATATACGAAAAACTATGGGAGTTGTTATTTCATGTACGTATAAGTACCTATATTAGTTATCAACGCGTTTAAGTCACAAAATTAGCACTGTGTTTCACGAAGCTATTCTAAACTCACAGTTTAAGTCAATTAACCAGACCACTTCTAGGGAATTATATATAAAAAAAAACTAAGAAATTAATGTTTTAAACCTACATTAGGTATATTATTTACAAATAGAAGATATTATAGCTGCAGCCGTATATGGTAATTATACGTGGCAGGTTTTTAGCGTAAATGACTTTTAGCGGCACTGCTGAAAACGTGTTTTATACATATGTACATATTATGTGTTGGTATACCTACTTATAATATGCCAACGAAAGTAACACGAATGTTAAATAATAATACAATAATTTCAATAAGTATAGTATACTGCAGCTATATACAGACACACAAACATATTATATGTATTGTATATCATTCAACGTATACTATATCAACTCATACCTACTCTTGATCCTAATATTATAATTTATATGATGGTAAACTTGCGTTTTTAATTTTTTTTTACTGTATTTTATTATGACGTATGTAGACGTATGTAGATACAGGTGTCAGACAAAAACACGCTACAATGTGTGTAAAGTTTAGGCCAGTTACGGCCACGAAAAAAATTGTATTACATTGCAGAGCATTATAATACGTATCGCTACTGCACCGCAGCTGCAGCACGTGCGCCTGCAGCTAGAGCAATGACGAGAGATTTCAAACGCCTGCAGTAATAGGATAAATGCTCAAAACAGTATAAATATAATTAAACTAAATATACACGCGTATTCAAGTATGTTAAATTTAATTATACATGAATATAATAGTTTTACGTCGGTACAGTGTTTAAAATGTACATAAAATATGTAGATGTATGCATGTCAACTAAACATCCAGGCGTTGCCTTAAACAGAAAACAATATTTCGTTTTGGAAATATGCCTGGAATTAAATTATTAACGGTGAAATCGTATTTAAAGGTATAAAATCATTATACAGACTTCATTTAAAAAATGGAGAAAAAAAGTCAAAGCTTGAGACTATTAAATCTCGTTAATAATTAATATAATAACTTTCAGGGTGCAGTATGAAGGCAGTGGACTATTTTTTTTTTCTTAAATACCAACGCCACGTAGTTAAACAATATGCGCGAATAAAGGAAATTAATACAACAGCAGTGATGAAGTTCTAAGGTGTTAATATTTAACTATACTGTAACTGTGATCATTAAAAGAAAATTACGTTTTATAGAACCCACGTCTAGAATAATTAGTCACGGCTTCAAAACTAAGTACACGGCCATTACTCTGATTGGATTATATATACAATCAGAACGAAGAGTGGGAAGGAAACTTGTGTTTTGTTTTATCGTTTTGAAATGTGTAGCGATAAATTGCGTTAAGAAAATCGTAATTTTATATTTATAAATTCCTACCTATTTATATATAAATACGAGAATACTTTTATACAGAGCGAGGGCTCTTATTCATTTATATATCTTCCATTATATGCGTATTATACCCTGCTGGAGAAAAGAAAACCGCAATGTCTTACCCTGTATGGCTGTATATAATATAATATAATAAATATACCTATATATATTACCTATAATAGGCTATATAAGGTATAAACAATTTTTATTAAATTAGTTGATTTTTATAAAAAAGCACAACGAATATTTTTACTCATAACAATTATAGGCCTATGAGGTATATTAGCCCCCAAAAAATTACTACCCCGAGCTTCAACTGGTAGGAGTTATCATATTAATATGTGTGTCACATCAATAATATTTTATAAATTCTGTATAATATATATATTATATAGGTACGCTCTGCAGTTACCCTGTCGGCCTATACAAAACGGTTGTGAAAAATAATACGCCGACTGACCGGCTCTAATTAGATTCAGACTATATAATATGATCACGGGCACGCAAAGTATTAAAAATTATTAACAGCATGTAAACTAATTAAGTCAAATCGAGATGTTTTTGCTACGCTCGTTATGCTCTCGTGTACCTATAACACAGAAACGTTTTGAGAACTATAGTAATGAGAGCACCTTTACGTATACCTATATATTATATAGCTGTTCAGAATAATATGTAGGTACCTACCTACCTATAATATATTATGCATGTGTATGTTCGTATAAAAGAGTTTTGTAAGTGTTGCAATTATAATATGCGTTTAACAAGGTTTTATTAAAATAAATTTCATAAAATATTAATACATAACATATTCTATACTATAAGTACCTACATAAATATATATTTATACCATTATATACCTATTATACTTGAATTGGTATAGTTATTAATTATGTATTGCAGAGGTACCCACCTATATGAAGCTTCACGATCATTTGATGTTTTCGTTCATTTTAATTATTATTATTGTGAGTCAGAGAAAGTAAATTTATTTTGTAAAATTAAAAAAAACATTCAAATATACACTTACATCTATAGGTATCTAAATAGAGTATTACAAAACGTGGGTACACACGTATATAATATGCGTCGTGAAAGTGGCTTAATTATATCTAACTTATATAAAGTTGTCGTAATAAACATAGTATTAATTGATCTAGCTGATGTACCCATTTTTATATTATTAAAAAATTTAATTCACTAAATATCGAGTTAAAAATTAAATTAAAAAGTCCATTTTGATAATGACTTATATTAACAATAAAATATATCAACAATATATCTATAGATATACACCTTTAATGCGTATAAATGTACCTACCTATATATACATATGCTATATAATATATATAAATAATAAAACTCCAATAAGACTTGAACTCTGTAGTGTCAATGATATATAGGTACCTACGCCTATATAATAAATATATATTTACTGTATCTAGAAATTATTTAAAAAAAATAAATAAATTTGCACCTATATTTACGGTTTGATGTAAAGTTGTTAATTAGGTGTGCGAGGCTATGACGTACCTATACTGCAGTTTATCACTCCGGAATGAAAAATATGAATCGATACTATAGACTTTGGTTAGAAGTTGTATTTTTTCGGATCCAATTGAACCAGGTATATACAATATACACGATACATCCGACTTAAGTTGCGGGTTGGTACAATATTCTAATAATAATATAAGTAGAAATTTGAAATTCAGGGTACCTGACCGAAACCGAACCTAACCTATACCGGCTATACCTAATAGCTAATCTTACCCCAGCTACCTTGGCTATACCATATTATTATTTATTATGATATATAAAAATTAAACTTCATACTAATTATACCCACTAAATACTATTATGTACCTATAGCTTAGGTGTACGCTGTTATAATGTTTCATATCTAAATATATATTATGAGGTTGACATTATGTAAGGAAAATTACGTACCCGCTGCGAGTCGGTTCTTGTCGGCGGCGAACAGGAAAGCGTTGCGCTGCATGAACGACACGGGGTCGATGGCTGCGGCCGCGGCCCAAGGGGACTGCATCGGACCGGGCGCGCCACCGCCGCCGTTGGACGGGTGCGGCCGGTGCGCTGGGACCTTGATGACGCCCGCTGCTCCAGAGTACTGCAGGTACGTCTTGTCGTCGGTCGGCTTGTTGGCCGCCGCCGCAGCTGCAGCGGCTGCTTGGTGTGCAGCGGCCGCGGCTGCAGCCATGTGCTGTTGTTGGTGCAGGTGGTGGTGAAGTCCGAACACGGCCGCATGGTGATGCCCGGCCGCGTAAAGCGAGGCGAGCGCTTCTGCAGGACCGGACACTGCGGCCGCGGCCATGCCGGTGCAGGACGCCGAACGTTTGGACGCCAGATCGTCTGCACCGCGTCCACCGCCGCCGGCCAACAGACGAGATATACCGAACGTCAGGGCTCCGGGCGCCGCTGAGGTTGGGGAAGACACATCGTCCTCGTCCTCTTCGTCCATACACAGCTCCTCGTCCGATGCACCGGAATCGACGCGGACGTCCCGATCCTCATCCGTGGTCGTGCCGTCCTCGATCGAACTGCACTTGGTCTCGTCGACCATGTTGACGCCGCGGGCGACGATTTCCGTTTAGACGACCTTCGTTTGCCACGCGAAAAAAAAACTTCGAACACTAAATCTCGACGGAGAGTATATATTATATAATATTATAGTCGCGATGAACGAGCGATCGCGATCGTTTGTATAGATCCGCAATTGTATTTATAATATAGGCGATCCTGTGATATGTGCAAGCGGTGTTAACAACGCGACCGGCGCATCTCGGGTACTACGGCGACGACTGAAGCGGTTCCGTTTCGTCACATCGAATCCGCGGACGAGGTGCGCAGTATATGGTGACGGGAATCTCCGCACAAAACGACGACGGCGATAATAATGTAATATTTTTACAATCGTTTTTTATTTCCGTTGTGTTTCGCGTCCGCACGACGAGTGTATACTGTATACCGATAATACTAATAACGATAACAATTATTATTGTTATAAAATAATATTAAATCGTTGAAGCGCGCTTGCGTGTGCGTACGACGATGCGTTGCGGCGCGGTTGGACACTGTGTGCGCGACGGACTGCGAGTGGCAGGCGGTGCACGACGTCGGCAGCGGCGGCAGCGCCGAGCACCGTCACCGCCGCCCGCCGAGATGGGCGTCCGCCGGGCACCGCCTAGGCCGTGCTCCGATTGGCGGACGGGCGCGCGCGCGGGAAATCAGTACCCGTCGACGATGGAGTGAGCTGTGGAGGGGACTTGGCGGTGGAGCGGTGGACGACGACGATATTAAAACCCATTTAACAACGCGTCGGGCCCGATCCCCTCGCGTATTTCTCCGCCACTGCCCCCCCAGCCGAGGAAAAACTCACTTCGACTCCCGCTCGTACAATAGTACCTATACGTGTGCTCACGGCGTATAAGGCTGGTGGCCGTGTCCGTACTTAAGCGCGCGGCCACCGCGGCCTCTCGCCCGCCGCCGCCACCGCCACCACTTCGGCCCGGTCGAAAAAAACTAATCCGAGCCGCGCGCTCCGCATACCGACGCCGTCCACCCGCGCGCGCAGTGCTGGCGGCATATTATAATATTATATTATATAGTGACGGTACCCATATAATAATAATATGCGATGCTCGGTCCCATATTCTGTTGCATCTTATTATTGCTTCCCGCCGCACCTGCACCACTGATTTTTTAACGCTTATTATTGCTATCATCGCGTTGCCGCATCGTTTGATGTGACCGAAAACCCACAGCAATTGCACATACTTTATTATCGTATTAGGTACGACGAGGATGGTTTCGATTTTACCTATCCGAATTGTACCTTTATACATATAAAAGGGCTATGGAGGTAGGTGCATATCGAATACATTTGGTTCTATATTTATATAATATAAAATGTATGCGATGTTAACGAGTGAGCGTGTGAGGTATATTTAATATTTATAGTTTATTTTTTTTGACAATTTTTTGAACCTGATATATGGTACATTAAAGTTGACCAAGACTATATCAGTTGGTCGAACGCAAATGAGGCTCAAAATAAGCTGCATGCGAAAGAGCAATAATGAAAGTAATAGAAAAGAAATTGGATGAAGATCTATACGGCGATCAATAGGTATATATGTGCATACTAGGTATATGTGACAAAAGAATCTTTGAAATATAAGTTATTCCACTGATTGAGGAACGATCAAAACAATGCGAGGACAGCTGATGGTTGAAACAAAAAAAAAAGCTGAGATTAGAAATCAGTCGCACTATATTATATTATTATATAATATAATACGACTAGATATATAATAGGTAATATGTTTTTTGTTTAAAATTTAAATATTATTTAAATTATTGATACTGTAGTTTGTTCTTAAGAATATAAATATAAAATACCTATAGTTATAGGTACCAACCTATATATATACCTGTCACAGTAAAATCCTAACGAAAGATAATACTTATTTGTACAACATATAGGCATGATGGCTTGTAATATTTAAATTCTAAATATTTATAAAATATAAGATAGATAATAATTTATATATTCGGTAAAAATATATAATATATTCATTCCAATTTTTGTATTTATCACTTTAATTGTATTCTATATTATACATAACAGCAGAAATACACTATTGCGGTTCCCCAACTATTTTGTACTCATTAATGAAAGTTCTGTTTGATTCTATTTCGAGAGACAAGTGAAAACATTTAATTTCTTCCCATTTTTTTCCTCCCAAGCACGAATATTAAAGAATTTTATTTGTAAAATACTAAAATCATACAACTTATAATATAATATATATATGTTATTGGAAATTAGTTTTAAATGATTGTAAATTATTTTTGCATTTTTTTTATAATTTATACTTTTTAAATTGAAAATAAATCAAAAGTATATAAAATACAAAATACTATTTTAAGTATCAACAAAAACCTGTAGGTATAATTATATAGCCCAGATAATATATTGGTACGTATTGCAGGCTGCAAGATGGGCTGGTAGTACCGTGGTTATAATTTTCGAACAGTCTCAGCTAGATAGTAGGTAACTAAGTAATACATAGTATATATACGATAACCTATAAGTAAAAGAACCGAAATTTCATAAAATACACAAAAAAATATAGAATATTAAGTAAAATACAAATACATAATGTACATAATATAGCTACATATATAATCCGCATATTATATCATATTCCACTCACTTAATACGAATAAATTATACTCTCAACGGTGAAAATATTGTATTTTTACACATCTCCGCGTCTCTTAAAAGTAAGAAAATTCATACTCTGAAGGCACCTGATTTATTATATATATTATTATATATGTGTGTGTGTGTATATAATAATAATACTATAGTCAAAATATTATACGATTTCATATAAAATTATAGCGGTGGGTTACGCGCACGAGTTGTAAATAAACCCAAAGATGATAAACGTAGTTAATAAAAAAATTTTATTATTACTAGATACATAATATAAGAAGTGCCTATATAATGTTTATTACCAGTCCGTCTAATAATATAAAGACTAAGAGGGTTGCCGTATACGAGCAGCTCGTACATATCATTTGAAAAACCAATTACATATCCGGCCCTACATTATAACTTCTTAGACGAATAATGGTTTTTTAACGTTTGTCATATCATATATGTATATAGTATGGCTGAATATTACACATTATATCCCAAGGTTAAAGCCAACTGTTATTTTATCAAAAACACAGAACTCCAACAATAAATATACTAACTCAACCGTTTATGTACAGCGCATTTGTTCAGTAATTGAATCTCCATCCACTACCCATAGGCTATAATATAATATCATATATATACTTGGTATAGGTGTACCTTACGTATACCATGCGTCAGATGGTTGGTAAAACGATAGTTTTATGGGTACCGCATGCCATAAAAATATTAAGTACAAATCGAAAAGGTTTAATCCGAATTAACATTGTTCTTAAATATGACGTTTAACTGCGAAATGTCCATTTATTTTAAGTATACACCACTGTATATTATATATATATATATAGGTACCTATATATTATATTATATCAAAAGAAAATTATTTAACGTTGGTATAAAAGCAATTTATTTTTATAATATTACAACAGTCGTATATATAGGTATATACTATAATATACAGAGGATGGAATATTTTTTCAGTTTTATACCATATCGTGTGATTGTAATATTTGCTGTATGTGCGTAGACCTATATGAAATGGGAAATAAAAACAAAAAGTAATTTCCTAGGTATAAATCTGATACCCGCCTTCAAATGTGTTTCTTTTTGTTTTTTTTCCATAGATATACCATATACCATCATCGTGACCATAAATTAGGATGTATTATATTATATTATGTTAGAGTGTTCGATGTAATAATATAATATATACAGCCCGATACAGATATTATAATTTATAGGTATGCATAATAAGCATTATATTATAACCTTATAAATTTTTAAGTAAAATAATGTACCTATTCTCTACAAAAAAAACAATATAATACAATATACCTGTATACAATAATATAATACCTATATAATGTATGAATATGTCTATATATAAGTAGTATATTTAAATATATAAATTTATATAAGTAATATATAGGTATTTAATTTCTATATTGAACGGAATTATTCAACGTTAACCTAGACAATAGTATATTATCACAATAAAATACAACATTTTAATTTTTGTATTTAATAAGTAATTTGATTAATAGTACTAACCAACTACTTGTACCTGATCCAAAAAAAAAAAAAATTTCCCTGCAGCATAAACAGCATATTTAATATATATACAATATATAGTATGGAAATTATACATATGTATCATATTATGTACCTATATATAATTAATTTATAAATTAAATTATTCAAAAACTCGTTACAGAATATGCACATCTCGTCATCTCGAATTACCTAATAACAAAATTAAAATCACCTATTAATTATTATGATATATATATACCTATATTAATATAGGTATCTATACTAGTAAACATAATATTCTATTCAGTGATCGGGAATAATACAATATTAACATAATACTATACACAGATGTAATCGTAAAATAAATCAATATTATATATAATAATATTGTATTGTGTTTTGTATATAATGTGTATATTGCAGCTTTAGGAAAATAGATATACCAAATTACCAACAATATATCTCAACGACACTGCAGTCGGTCACGGAATATTAACCCGCTGAAGAGTCATATTTGAATAGCGTTTTTATTTTAACCATAGTATGGTTGTAGTAGGTAGGTAGGTAGGTATATATATATTCAGTATATTATATTATTCAATACTGAAAGGAAAATAACACCTAGTGAAAATCGCATTGAATATAGGATGTATAATGTATATTGTATATGTAATATGTATTATAGATATACTAATAATAATATTAAAGCAGTTCGAGCTTTAATGAGTACAGTATATAATATTTAGGTATGTACAAATTATCATATTTTTGATTTATAATAACTATAAGTAATGATAGTCATATTATTATAATAGTAAATT